GAATGAAATTAACTTATTTCATTTGAAATAGGGTGATTTCCTTAGGATTTTTTTTTTTTTTTTTTTTTTTAATACTTAATTTTAATATATATGCATTATTTAATTAATTATAAAATTTTTTTGATTTACATAAATAAAAAAAGTAGTTTAAAAATTAAATTAAAAAGTTAACTAGATAATTTAAAATTCCAATATAGACATTTCCGAGAATTAAAAGACCAACTTCATATAAATAGAAAGATGAATACAATACATTTATTTTTATCATTAATCTATAAAAATGTTTATAATGTTAGATTATATTATATACTAATAAATTGATATAATTGTTATACATCTATGAATCTTAAGGCTTTGTTTTATATGATTATAGATATCTATTAATTAACTAAATATTTATATGTATATATATATCTATTAATCTTAACTTGGTATATCATTTATTTATTTTTAATATTATATAAATAAAAATTTAAAATTTATTAAATATAAATAAATAAGTTAATATATTTTAAAATAATTTTAATATTTTATAAATTTATTATTAAAAAAAAAAAAAAAAATCCTAGATAAAACTGTTATATTAATTAAATACCTATTAATTAATCTAATTTTTTTTTATTATCTTATTTAATAATTATTTCAATTATTATTTATATTTTTTTTTGTTATTTATATCTATTTATTATTGAAATTTAATTATAATTTTATTGAAATAATTTATTAATAAATTAAATTAAATAAGTTTTTTGTAAAAGGTTAGTTTTCTTTTAATTTTGTTAATGAAAAACGGTAACTTACTTGGGGGGTGGTTACTGTCATGGGAGGAATTACTATTTTTTTTTTATTTAATAAAATTTGAATTTTTTAACTTTATGAATTAATAATTGTTATTTAAATGTGTTATTTATTTATAAATTACTGATTGATAAATTTTTATTTGTTAACATTAAAGTTTTATTTTGGCTTTAAATTTTATTATTGATTTATTTTATATGTAAGTTTTTGCGTGTATTTTTATTTATTTAAATAGTAATTAAATTTTAATTGTAATCTCAGTAAATAGAATTATTAATCAAGGAAACTTGGAGATAGTGATTTCATAGAGCATTGGTTAAATTTGTGCCAGCAGCCGCGGTTATACAAATAATGCGAATAAAATTGGTTTGGTGTGAGTTAAAATGTATTGTTTTGAAATAATATTGAGTTTATTAGGTGAAATTTTAAATTTGAGAATTTTTTTTTGTGTAAATATTTTGAAGCTTGTAAATTTTAATTATAGACTAGGATTAGATACCCTATTATTTAAAATGTAATTATAAACACTAAGGTAGTAGTAGTTATGTTCTTGAAACTTAAAAAATTTGGCGGTATTTTAGTCTATTCAGAGGAACCTGTCCTGTAATTGATAATCCACGATGAACCTCGCTTGAATTTGTTTTTCAGTTTATATACCGTCGTTATCAGAATATTTTATTAGAAAAATAATTTTCTATAATTTTTATAAGAATGTATATCAGATCAAGGTGTAGCTTATGTTTAAGTAGAGATGGGTTACAATAAATTTATTTAGACAGATCTAATTTTGAAATATTTTAGTGAAGGTGGATTTGATAGTAAAATTTTAAAGATTGTTAATTTGATTTTAGCTCTAGAATATGCACACATCGCCCGTCGCTCTTACTATTAAGGTAAGATAAGTCGTAACATAGTAGATGTACCGGAAGGTGTATCTAGAATGACAGTTTAAAGCTTATTTAGTAAAGCGTTTCATTTACATTGAAAAGGTTTTTGTGCAAATCAATATAAATTGAACAATATTTATTTATTAATTTTTTTAGTTTTTTGATTTATTGTATTAAAAATAATTGTATAATTTAATGTTTTAGTAATTTTTAATGAAAAAATAATTTTTATAATAGTTTATTAGTATTGTGAAAGGTAATTGAAATATTTTGAAAAATTTTTGTAGTGAAAGAAGATTTAATTTATTGTACCTTGTGTATCAGGGTTTATTAAATAATTAATAGAAATTTATTGATCTCGATTTTATAAGAGTTAATAATTTATTAAAGTTAATGTGTCAAAATTATTTTAAATAAATTATTAGAAATGAGATGTTATTCGTTTATAAAGGTATCTAGTTTTTTTAGAAATAAATTTAATTTACAAGTTTTTGATTTTTTGGTTATTTAATTAATTAAAATATTTATTAACTTGAATATCTTAAGGGATAAGCTTTAAGATAAATTATTAAAAATTAATAGTGGTAGTATAAAATGTATGCTTAGAATTAGCAATCATTATAAAGTTTGTTATAAATTATTTTATTAATTATATTATTTATTATATTTTAATTTATTTATAAAAATTGTTTTATTAATAATTTATAAAGGGGAATAATGATAGAATTAGTATATGTTTTGTTTAGATAATTTTTTATGTTAAGTTTATATAAAGAACTCGGCAAATTTTTTACCCGCCTGTTTAACAAAAACATGTCTTTTTGAGTTATTTTTAAAGTCTGACCTGCCCACTGAAATTATTTAAATGGCCGCAGTATTTTAACTGTGCAAAGGTAGCATAATCATTAGTCTTTTAATTGAAGGCTGGTATGAACGGTTGGACGAGGTATAAGCTGTTTCATATAAATTTATAATAGAATTTTATATTTTAGTCAAAAAGCTAAAATATATTTAAAAGACGAGAAGACCCTATAAATCTTTATATTTTGTGTTGTTTAAATTTTTTGGAATTGGTTTATTTTTATAATATAAAATATTTTGTTGGGGTGATATTAAAATTTAATTAACTTTTAATTATTTAAAATCATTAATTTATGAGTTATTGATCCATTAATAGTGATTATAAGATTAAGTTACTTTAGGGATAACAGCGTAATTTTTTTGGAGAGTTCATATCGATAAAAAAGTTTGCGACCTCGATGTTGGATTAAGATATAATTTTAGGTGTAGTCGCTTAAATGTTAAGTCTGTTCGACTTTTAAATTCTTACATGATCTGAGTTCAGACCGGCGTAAGCCAGGTTGGTTTCTATCTTTAAATTTTTATAATGCCTTAGTACGAAAGGACCAGGCATTAAAATAATAATATTTTATTTATAGAATGTGATTAATTACTATTTTGGCAGATTAGTGCAATAAATTTAGAATTTATTTATGTAATTTATTATTACAAATAGTACTTGTTTTTTATGGAATTTATTTTATCGGTTATTGGAGGTTTAATTTTAGTAATTTGCGTTTTAGTGAGAGTAGCTTTTTTAACTCTTTTGGAACGTAAGGTTTTAGGTTATATTCAGATTCGTAAAGGCCCTAATAAGGTTGGTTTAATAGGTATTCCTCAACCTTTTTGTGATGCAATTAAGTTATTTACTAAGGAACAAACTTATCCCCTTTTATCAAATTATATCTCTTATTATTTTTCTCCTATTTTTTCTTTATTTTTGTCTTTAGTTGCTTGGTTGTGTATTCCTTTATTTGTTAAATTATTTTCTTTTAATTTAGGGTTGTTATTTTTTTTGTGTTGTGCTAGATTGGGGGTTTATACTGTTATGGTTGCTGGTTGATCATCTAATTCTAATTATGCTTTATTAGGGGGACTACGTGCTGTTGCACAAACAATTTCTTATGAAGTTAGAATAGCGTTGGTGTTGTTATCTTTTGTTTTTTTAATTGGTAGATATAATATTTTAGATTTTTTTTATTATCAAAAATTTGTTTGGTTTTTGGTAATTTTGTTTCCTATAAGATTAGTGTGGTTTTGTATTTGTTTGGCTGAAACTAATCGAACTCCTTTTGATTTTGCTGAGGGTGAATCGGAATTGGTTTCTGGGTTTAATATTGAATACAGAAGAGGGGGGTTTGCTTTAATTTTTATAGCTGAATATACTAGAATTTTATTTATAAGTATATTATTTTGTGTTATTTTTTTGGGGTGTGATTTGTTTAGTATTATATTTTATTTAAAGTTGACTTTTATTTCATTTATGTTTATTTGGGTTCGAGGTACTTTACCTCGGTTTCGTTATGATAAATTGATATATTTAGCTTGAAAGAGTTTTTTACCTTTTTCATTAAATTTTTTGTTATTTGTAATTGGGTTTAAATTATTGTTGATTTATTATATATGGTTAATTTTATTTAGTAAAGTCAATAGAAAGGTTAATTTCTATCTTGTGTTTTCAAAACACATGCTTGTTCAAGCTCATTGACTAATTAATTAAATTATCTCATCATTTATTAATTAATGGGTTAATAATATAATATAAAAAATAAATGATAGTTAGGATTTGTCCTACTAGAACGTAAGGTTCTTCTACTGGTCGTGCTCCAATTCATGTTAATAAAATTACTGTAACCACTATATTTCAAAATAAAATTTTATTGATTGGGTAAAATTGAATTCCCCGGAATTTTCTTATGTGGTAAAATGGAAGAATAGCTAGAATAGCAATTGATAATACTAGAGCAATAACTCCTCCTAGTTTATTAGGGATTGACCGAAGAATGGCGTAGGCGAAAAGGAAATATCATTCTGGCTGAATATGGACTGGGGTAACTAAAGGATTAGCTGGGATAAAGTTGTCTGGGTCTCCTAATAAATATGGGTTAATTAATGTTAAGAGTAGTAGGGCTGCTACTATAATTACAAATCCAACAATATCTTTGTATGAAAAGTAGGGGTGGAAAGGGATTTTGTCAATATTGGAATTTAATCCGATGGGATTATTTGAACCGGTTTGATGGAGAAATAAAAGATGAATTAATGTTATTGCTAGTACAATAAATGGTAAGATGAAGTGAAATGTGAAAAATCGGGTTAGAGTAGCATTGTCTACTGCGAATCCTCCCCATACTCATTGTACTAAATCAATTCCTAGGTATGGGATAGCGGATAATAAATTAGTAATAACTGTTGCTCCTCAGAAAGATATTTGTCCTCAAGGTAGGACATATCCTATGAAAGCTGTTGCTATAACTAAAAATAAGATTAGGACTCCCACTAATCATGTAGGAGTAAATAAATATGAGCCGTAGTAAATTCCACGTCCTACATGTAAGTAAATACAAATAAAAAAAAATGAAGCACCGTTAGCGTGAATAGTTCGTAGTAATCAACCATAGTTTACGTCACGACAAATGTGATTTACTCTATTGAACGCTAAGTTGATATCTGCGGTGTAATGTATAGCTAGGAATAATCCCGTTAAAATTTGAATAGTTAAACATAATCCTAATAATGACCCGAAGTTTCATCAGGCTGAAATATTAATTGGTGCTGGAAGATCTACTAGAGCATTATTTGCAATTTGAAATAGGGGATGTTGGGTTCGTAAAGGTTTGTTCATTAGTTTATAGGCCGGAGAGGTCCGTAGAATAATTTAGTAATTTTTACTACTGCAATTAGTGTAATTAATAAATAATTTATTAATAAAATTGTTATTAGGTTTGTTGGGAAGTTATATAATTTATGTAGATTTAATGAATTTTCATGTGTAAATAAGTTAGGATTAAAGTAGGTATTTATTTCTAAGTTTTGAATAAAAGGAAGTGTAGATAGTTTATCAATAAATAGAGAAATAAATGTAAGACTTGTTATAATAGTAATACAAAGAGTTGTTAATTTTATGGATAAAGAAAATATTTCATTTGAAGCTAATGAAGTTACATAGATGAATAATACTAATATTCCTCCTAGAAAAATTAAAAATAAAATATAGGAGAATCAGAATCTTTTTGCTATTAGTCCTGTTAATAAACAAATTTGTAGTGTTTGAATTAAAAGTATTAATCCTATAGCTAATGGGTGGTTTATTTGAATGAAAATAAATCTTGAAATTAATGTGGAAGAATATAATAAGAATTGTATGATTTCAAGAGGTAGTTTAATTAAAATATTAATTTTGGGGATTAATGATAAAGTTATTTCTTTTCTCTTGAAGTTTTAAAAGATTAAATCTTATTTTTGGTTTACAAGACCAATGTTTTTATTAAACTATTAAAACTAATGTTAATAAGATTATATTGAGGGTTACCTTGTTTTTTATTTTTAATAGGCATTTTTGTTTTTGTTTCTAATCGAAAACATTTATTATCAATGCTTTTGAGATTGGAATATATTGTGTTGAATTTATTTTTTCTTTTGTTTATCTATTTGAATTTGATAGATTATAGAAGATTTTTTAGTATAATATTTTTAACTTTTAGAGTTTGTGAAGGTGCTTTGGGGCTTTCTATTTTGGTTTCTATAATTCGTACACATGGAAATGATTATTTTCAATCGTTTAATGTTTTGCAATGTTAAAATTAATTTTTATAATAATTTTTATTAGTCCTATTTGTTTTATAAATGGTTTATTTTGAATGGTTCAAAATTTATTATTTATTGTAACTTTTATTTTTATTGTTTTAAATTATTGTACAAATTATTTTGTGAATATTTCTTATTTTTTAGGGTTTGATGTGATTTCTTATGGATTGATTTTGTTAAGATTTTGGATTTGTACTCTTATACTTACAGCTAGTGAGTCTGTTTATAAGTATGGTAGTTATAAAAATTTATTTTTATTTAATATTTTAATTTTGTTAATTTTTTTAGTTTTGACTTTTAGAAGAATGAGCTTGTTTATGTTTTATTTATTTTTTGAAAGAAGATTGATTCCTACTTTATTTTTAATTTTAGGATGAGGGTATCAACCTGAACGTCTTCAGGCGGGGGTGTATTTATTGTTTTATACTTTATTAGTTTCTTTACCTATATTAGTCGGGATTTTTTATTTGTATAATAGTTTAAATACAATGGATTTTTATTTATTAAGTAATTATATATTTAATTATGATTTACTTTATTTGCCTTTAATTTTAGCTTTTTTAGTTAAGATGCCAATGTTTTTGGTTCATTTGTGGTTACCTAAGGCTCATGTTGAAGCTCCGGTTTCTGGGTCAATAATTTTAGCTGGAATTATGTTAAAATTGGGGGGCTATGGGTTGTTACGAGTTTTTTCTTTTTTACAAGTAAGAGGAATTAAGTATAATTATTTATGAGTAAGAATTAGATTAGTTGGGGGGGTTTTAATTAGATTAGTTTGTTTACGTCAAACTGATTTAAAGGCTTTAATTGCTTATTCTTCTGTAGCTCATATGGGGATTGTTTTAGGTGGTTTGATAACTTTAACTTACTGAGGACTTTGTGGTTCTTATACTTTGATAATTGCTCATGGATTGTGTTCGTCTGGATTATTTTGTTTGGCGAATATTACTTATGAACGGTTAGGGAGTCGTAGCTTATTGATTAATAAGGGTTTATTGAATTTTATACCTTCAATGACTTTGTGGTGGTTTTTGTTAAGAGCTTGTAATATAGCTGCTCCACCTTCTTTGAATTTATTGGGGGAAATTTCTTTATTAAATAGAATTATTAGTTGGTCTTCAATTACTATAATTTCTTTATCTTTGTTGTCTTTTTTTAGAGCTGCTTATACTTTGTATTTGTATGCCTATAGTCAACATGGTAGGGGGTTTTCAGGTATTTATTCATTTAGAGGGGGAAAGATTCGTGAATACCTTTTATTATTCCTTCATTGATTTCCTTTAAATTTGTTGATTTTAAAAAGAGATATTTGTTTATTTTGGCTTTAAATTTAAATAGTTTATTTAAAATATTGATTTGTGGTGTCAATGATATGAGTTAATCATTTTAGATCGTGAAGTATTTATCAATTTGTAGAATTAGATTTTTAATTTTAATTATAGTTAGAATTAATTTTTTTTTATTAAGACTTTTTTTTTTATTAAATGATTATTCTGTATTTTTGGAATGAGAAGTTGTTAGTTTAAATTCTGTGAGAATTGTTATAACTTTTTTATTCGATTGAATGAGATTATTGTTTATATCTTTTGTTTTATTAATTGCTTCGTTGGTAATTTATTATAGAAAGGAATATATGAGAGAGGACAAAAATATTAATCGATTTATTATATTAGTGCTTATGTTTGTATTATCAATAATGTTGTTAATTATTAGTCCTAATATAATTAGAATTTTATTAGGATGAGATGGGTTGGGATTAGTTTCTTATTGTTTGGTAATTTATTTTCAAAATGTTAAGTCATATAATGCTGGGATATTAACAGTACTATCTAATCGAATTGGAGATGTAGCTTTTTTATTAGCAATTGCTTGAATATTAAATTATGGGAGATGAAATTATATTTTTTATTTAGAAACTATAAAACATAGAATGGAGATAGAAATTATTGGGGGGTTAATTATATTAGCAGCTATAACTAAGAGAGCTCAAATTCCTTTTTCATCTTGATTGCCAGCTGCTATGGCTGCTCCTACTCCAGTTTCTGCTTTAGTTCATTCTTCAACTTTAGTAACTGCTGGTGTTTATTTATTAATTCGTTTTAATGTTTTATTAAGAGGTAGATGATTGGGAGATTTATTGTTATTATTATCTGGATTAACTATATTTATAGCTGGGTTAGGAGCTAATTTTGAATTTGATTTAAAGAAGATTATTGCATTATCTACTCTTAGACAGTTGGGATTAATAATAAGAATTTTATCTATAGGATTTTATAAACTTGCTTTTTTTCATTTATTAACTCATGCTTTATTTAAGGCTTTGTTGTTTATGTGTGCTGGGGCTATTATTCATAATATAAATAATTCACAGGATATTCGGTTAATAGGAGGGCTAAGTGTTTATATGCCTTTGACTTCAGGATGTTTTAATGTAGCTAATTTGGCTTTATGTGGTATACCCTTTTTAGCTGGGTTTTATTCTAAGGATATGATTTTAGAAATTGTTTCTTTAAGAAATATTAATATATTTTCTTTTTTTTTATATTTTTTTTCTACTGGGTTAACAGTTTGTTATTCTTTTCGGTTAGTATATTATTCTATAACTGGGGAGCTGAATTGTGGTTCTTTAAATATGCTTAGTGATGAGGGTTGAATCATGTTACGTGGCATAAGTGGGCTATTAATTATGAGAATTATTGGGGGTAGAATGTTGAATTGATTAATTTTTTCAACTCCTTATATAATTTGTTTACCTAGTTATTTGAAGTTATTGACTTTGTTTGTTTGTGTTATAGGAGGGGTATTTGGGTATTTAATTTCAGATGTTTCTTTATTTTATTTTAATAAGTCTTTACATAATTATTTGGTAAGTTATTTTTTTGGTTCGATGTGATTTATGCCTTATATTTCTACTTATGGGATTATTAATTATTCTTTGATTTTAGGGGGAAGAGTTTGTAAATCATTTGATCAAGGTTGATCGGAATTTTTAGGGGGTCAGAATTTATATAATAATTTAGTTAGTTATTCTCGGCATGTATTTGTTATACATAATAATAGTTTGAAGATTTATTTATTATTATTTGTTTTGTGAATTATTATTTTATTTTTTTTTTTGATATTTTAATTCAAGTAGCTTAAAATAGAGCATAACACTGAAGATGTTAGGGTAATTGTCTAATTCTTGGATATAGTGTATTTATTTTAGTAATTTATAAAAATAAGTAATTTTGTTTTTACAATGAAAATGTAATGTTTTTTTTAAACTATATAAATAGAAGTATAAATGGAGTTTAACCATTAAAAGATAAAAGTTAGCGGCTTTTTCTTGAACCTCATACTTCCTTAATTGGAGAATAATCTCAGTTCTATCATTAACAGTGATAAGCCTCTGTTTGGCTTCAATTAATATTTAATTATTAGAGGTATATGTATATAGAATAGGGGTATTAAATACCTAAGATTAGGTCGAAACTAATTGCAATAAATCGCTTCATATTCTTGGTTTAAGGTAGATTGAATATTTCAATACTTTTTGAATGCAAATCAACTGTTATAATTAACTACAACCCTAGTTTGATCAATTTAGTATACCTTGGTTTCATTCGTGATATAGGCCGATAATTAGAATAATGATAAATACAACTCTTGTTGTTGTTCATACGATTATATTTGAAGTGGAGATAATTAAAATTATGGGTAAAATAAGAGCAATTTCTACATCAAAAATTAAGAAAATGATAGTGATTAGAAAGAATCGAAGTGAAAAAGGTAATCGAGAGGATGATTTTGGATCGAATCCACATTCAAATGGAGAACATTTTTCACGATCTGTAAGAGTTTTTTTTGATAAAATAGATGCTAATATTATTACTACTCTTGCGATAATAATTAAAATTGATGTTATAATAGCAATTGAAAAGATTATCTATACTACTAATTAGTAGGCCTTATGATTGGAAGTCAAATATACTTATATACTATATAGATAATTATAAATTAGCCTCCTCATCAGTAAATTGAGATATATAGGAATAGTCAAACAATATCAACAAAATGTCAGTATCATGCAGCTGCTTCGAATCCAAAATGGTGTGTTTTTGAAAAATGATTATTTAAATGGCGGATTAGGCATACAAGTAGGAATGAAGTTCCGATTAATACGTGAATTCCGTGGAATCCTGTTGCTATGAAAAAGGTAGACCCATAAACTGAGTCTGCAATAGTAAATGGGGCTTCAATGTATTCGTACGCTTGTAAAATAGTAAAATAAATTCCTAATAGTACTGTAAAAAATAATCCTTGTGTAGCTTGTGAATGATTACCTTCTATTAGTCTGTGGTGAGCTCAAGTTACTGTGACTCCTGAAGATAAAAGGATTGCTGTATTTAGTAAAGGGATTTGGAATGGATTAAATGGTTGAATTCCTGCTGGAGGCCATATAGCCCCTAATTCGATAGCTGGAGATAGTCTTCTATGAAAAAAAGCTCAGAAAAAAGATACAAAGAACAATACTTCTGATAAAATGAATAGGATTATTCCTCATCGAAGTCCTAAGGTTACGGGTAGAGTGTGTAGGCCTTGAAAGGTTCCCTCTCGAGAGACATCTCGTCATCATTGGTATACTGTTAAAATGGTAATCATATTGCCTAATACAAAGAGTGAAATGTCATATTGATGGAATCATTTTACTAATCCTGATACGGATGTTATAGCTCCAATTGCTCCTGTTAAAGGTCAGGGGCTGTAATCTACTAAATGGAATGGGTGATTTGAGTGTGTTGACATTAATTTACTTCGCTAGAGTATAGTGTTCTTAATACTGCAAATACATATGATTGAATAATAGCAACAGCTGATTCTAGTACTAGAAGAGCAATTTGACCTATTAATAAAAATGATATAATTATGTAGGAAAGTGAAGGTCCAGTGTTACCTAATAGAGTAAGGAGTAGGTGTCCTGCAATTATGTTGGCTGCTAATCGAACAGCTAAGGTTCCAGGGCGGATAATGTTACTAATAGTTTCAATACAGACTATAAATGGTATAAGTACTGCTGGAGTTCCTTGGGGTACTAAGTGTGCAAATATATGTTGGGTATGGTTAATTCATCCATATAATATAAAACATAGTCATAGGGGTAGAGCTAGCGTAAGAGTTAATGTAAGATGACTTGTTCTAGTAAAAATGTAAGGGAATAATCCTATAAAATTATTAAATAAAATTAGTGAAAATAGAGAGACAAAAATGAAAGTTGAACCTGAATGTCCTGAGGGGCCTAAAAGAGTTTTGAATTCTTTATGTAAGGTTAGTAGAATTGAGTTTCAGAAGATATGTCATCGGGAGGGTATTAATCAATAGGCGGAAGGGATTAATGTTAACCCTAAAAATGTTCTTATTCAATTTATAGAAAGATTGAAGATGCTTGAGGACGGGTCGAATACGGAGAATAGATTAGTTATCATTTTCAATTTAAAGAAGTTGTTGAATACTTATTTGAAATTTGTGATTTAGGTGTTTGGGGGATTACGGAGTAATAATTTATTATGCTAAATAAAATAAAGGTAATTGAAAAGACAATAAATAAGCTTAATCAACCTATAGGGGCTATTTGTGGGATTAAAAAATATTAAATAATTTAATAATTTTAGTTTGACATACTAATGTTATTTTTTAACTAATTTTTTCATTAGAAGTAAGCGCTAATTTACTATTAGGTGGTTTAAGAGACCAATACTTGCTTTCAGTCATCTAATGAAAGTTATGAGTTAGCTCTACTAGTTACTCATTTAATGAAATGATTAACAGGGAGTCTTTCGATTACAATAGGTATAAATCTGTGATTAGCTCCGCAAATTTCTGAACATTGGCCGTAAAATAAACCAGGTCGGTTTATTAGGAAGTTTGTTTGGTTTAATCGTCCTGGTGTTCCATCTACTTTTACGCCTAGAGCAGGGACTGTTCAAGAATGAATAACATCTGCAGCTGTCACTAAAATTCGAATTTGTGAGTTTATAGGTAGAATTACTCGGTTGTCAACATCTAATAGACGGAATCCATCTGCGGATAATTCGTTGGTTGGAATTATATAAGAGTCAAATTCAACGTTTAAAAAATCTGAGTATTCATAGCTTCAATATCATTGATGTCCGATGGCTTTAAGAGTTACTGAAGGTTCATTAATTTCATCTAATAAATAAAGTAGTCGAAGAGATGGAAGAGCAATAAATAGGAGTACAATAGCTGGGAGGATTGTTCAAATTATTTCAATGGTTTGTCCGTGGAGGAGATTTCGGTTTGTATATGAGTTGAAAAATAGCATAAATATTAAGTAGCCAACTAATGTTGTGATTATTACTAGAATTATTAGTGCGTGATCATGGAAGAAGGTAAGTTGTTCTATAAGAGGGGAGGCTCTATCTTGAAGGCCAAGGGCAGCTCATGTTGTCATTCGTTTCTAATAAAAGTAAAATACTTTATATATGGAGCTTAAATCCATTGCACTAATCTGCCATATTAGATAATTAGTTAAAAGAGGTAATTCTGAGTAACTATGTTCGGCTGGAGGAGTATTTTGAAGTCATTCAATTGATGAATTAAGTTGTATGGGGTAAATTACTTGCCGTTGTGTTACTAATCTTTCTCAAATAATAAATAAGAAAAATAAGATTCCTAGTAAAGAAATAGATGAGCCAATTGTGGATACTACATTTCATGTTGTATAGGCGTCTGGGTAATCTGAGTATCGGCGTGGTATTCCCGCTAATCCTAAGAAATGTTGAGGGAAGAATGTTAAATTTACGCCGATAAATATAATAATAAATTGACTTTTTAATCAATTAGGGTTTAGATTTAGTCCGGTGAATAGGGGGTATCAGTGTACAAATCCGGCTATAATTGCGAATACTGCTCCCATAGATAGTACGTAGTGAAAATGGGCTACTACATAGTATGTATCATGTAAAATAATGTCTACAGAAGAATAAGCAAGTACAACTCCCGTTAATCCTCCTACTGTAAATAAGAATACAAATCCTAGGGCTCATAATATTGCTGGGGAATAATTTAACTGTGTGCCGTGAAGAGTAGCTAATCAACTGAAAATTTTAATGCCTGTAGGTACTGCAATGATTATTGTAGCTGAAGTAAAGTAGGCTCGAGTGTCTACATCTATTCCTACTGTAAATATATGGTGAGCTCATACAATAAAACCTAGAAGTCCAATTGCTATTATAGCGTAGATTATTCCTAGAGACCCAAAGGTTTCCTTTTTACCTGATTCTTGACTAATAATGTGAGAGATTATACCAAATCCAGGGAGAATTAGAATGTATACTTCTGGGTGTCCGAAAAATCAAAATAAATGTTGGTAAAGGATTGGGTCTCCTCCACCTGCTGGGTCGAAAAAGGAAGTATTCAGATTTCGATCTGTTAAAAGTATTGTGATAGCACCGGCTAAGACAGGTAGAGATAGTAAAAGTAGTAGGGCTGTTAGTACTACTGCTCAAACAAATAAAGGTATTCGATCGAATGTAATTCCTGTTGATCGCATATTAATTACTGTTGTAATAAAATTTACAGCTCCTAAGATTGAGGAGATACCTGCTAAATGGAGTGAAAAGATGGCTAGATCGACAGATGCTCCTCCATGTGCAATAATAGATGATAATGGCGGGTATACAGTTCAACCTGTACCGGCTCCGTTTTCCACTATGCTGCTGACTAACAATAGAGTGAGAGAAGGGGGTAATAACCAGAATCTTATATTATTTATTCGGGGGAATGCCATATCTGGTGCCCCTAATATTAAAGGGACTAATCAATTTCCAAACCCCCCGATTATAATAGGTATAACTATGAAAAAAATTATTACGAAAGCGTGAGCAGTTACAATTACATTATAAATTTGATCATCTCCAATTAATGCTCCAGGATGACCTAGTTCTGCTCGAACTAAAATTCTAAGAGATGTGCCAACTATTCCTGCTCAGGCTCCGAAAATGAAGTATAAAGTTCCAATATCTTTGTGATTTGTTGAAAATAGCCATTGTCGCGATTAAATGGCTGAAGTTTAGGCGATAGACTGTAAATCTATCTATAAGAATTTATTCTTTTTAATCATGGCCTTGTAGTCAATAATGATATTAGACTGCAATTCTAAAGGAGTAAAATTTTACTAAGGCTTAAAAGATTAAACTTATATTTATAGCTTTGAAGGCTATTAGTTTGATTAACTTAAAGCCTTGCTATAAAATTTATAAGAATAAATAAATTATAGACACTAGGATTAAACTGAAAGTGGAGATGAAAGATAGGGTTAATATAATTTTGAAAGAGATAAAATTAATTTTTATATTAGTAGGTCAATTGTTTTCGTAATAATTAAGTATAAAGGCTGCGAAGCATAATCGTAAATAAAAAAATAATGTGATTAATGTTATTACTGTTATAATTGTTATTAAGATGTATTGATTTTTTAACACTAGGAATTGAATAACTAATCATTTAGGTAAAAATCCGATAAAAGGCGGTAGTCCCCCTAAAGATAATAAATTTAAAAATAGGGTGAATTTTAGAATTTTAGAACTGAAAAATGAATTAAATAATTGATTAATATGAAATATTTTGAAGCTATTGAATATGAAGATTAGGCTGAAAGATAGGAATGTGTAAAAAGAGAAATAAATAATTCATAGTGATTCAATTGCTTGTATAGCTGCTAGTATTCATCCTAAATGATTGATGGATGAAAAAGCCATTAATTTCCTTAGGGAGGTTTGGTTAAGCCCTCCTAAGGAACCGGTAATAGTCGAAGTAATAATTACTAAGATAATAAAATTGCTTTGTATAGTGTAAGAAATTAATATAAGGGGGGCGATTTTTTGTCATGTCATTAAAGTGAGTGCACTTATTCAGGAGAGCCCTTCTATTACATTAGGGAATCAGAAGTGGAAAGGTGCAGCACCACTTTTTAACAATAATGATGAAGTAATTATTAAGTCACCGTAGATGGTATTATCTTGTATAATAGGATGGTTGTTTAGGTATCTTATTATGATAGCAAATAGTAATACAGCTGAGGCTATAGCTTGAGTTAAAAAGTACTTTAATGAGGCTTCTGTAGATATCAAGTTATTATTATTTATTAGGGGGATAAATGATAATAAATTGATTTCTAATCCTATTCAAGCACCTAGTCAAGAATTAGACGAGACGGTAATTATAGTTCCTGTTATTAGGATAAAGAAAAATATAATTTTAGCTGAATTATTAAAAATTAAAAAGAAAAGGGTTGGAACCTTTATAAGTGGGGTATGAGCCCAGTAGCTTAATTAGCTTATCTTTTTAAGTTTATATTTTAGTGTATGATGCACAAAAGTTTTTGATACTTTTAGGAATAGTTTAATTCTATTAAATATAATGAATGTAATGTTATTACATAATTTACCCTATCAAGGTAACCCTTTTATCAGGCAATTCATT